AAATCGGTTGCAATTATAGAACATTTTTTCAAATGTTTTGAGTTTCTTGCATTTCTGTCTTTTTGTCTCTGAATAAGGGAATTTCAGTGTCTTTTCAAACAATACAGTCATGCACTGCATAAAGATTTTTTAGTCAAGAACGGATCACATATTCATTGGTAGCCTTATAAGATTATATTTTTCTGTGTGGTCTCTGTCTGTATGTCACTGGCGGTGGTCTGAGGACATCTCAGAGAGGGAGACCTCTGCTCAGGACCACTGGGGTCCTTGACCAATTTTACTAAAGTTTCTAGATGCATCAGATATGGAACCACAGAGATTATTCAGGAAAGCAAGGAATACACATTTAGGGGAGAATGTGGGCTATTTAAAGAGTGAGATGCATGACTGGGGACAGTGGCACATGCTTGTAATCCCAGCGATTTGGGACTCTGAGGAAGGAAGATTGTAAGTTCAAAGCCAGCCAGCCTTAAGCAATTTAGTGAGGCCCTAAACAACTTAAAAGACCCTGTCCCAAAATAAAAAAATAAAAAAAGCTAGTGGGGAGGGGGCGGTGGCAGATGTGGCTCAGTGGTCAAGTGCTCCTGGGTTCAATTATCAGTACCAGAAAAAAAAAAAAAAAAAGAGTGAGATACAGTTTTGGGTCCTGGGCTCTTCTTTTAAAGGAAATTTGATAAAGGATGAAGGGGTGGGCATGGGAAGGTATGTGGGGATGACATGAATATGGTCAAAGCTAAGATGGTTTATGATGGTCTGGCAATTCTCAGTTGACATCGTCTCTTATTATCTGATATTAATAGACAACACTGAGAAAGTACCCTGTGTTATAAGTTTCATATTTCCCTTACTCAATCTATTCTAAAAAATACATGTACTAATGAGATAATTAACATTGCATAGGAAAAAATTTCATAAATGGGTGAATTTCAAGCAACTTTAAGATTGTGAGTGAGGGTCTGTAGATTTTTCAGAAATTTGGGAGTATCAAGCCTGGGAGAGAAAAACAGGCTTGGGGAGTGAAGGTATGAGGAAATTTCGCACAAGGCTTTCAGATTAAAGTTAAAGTCTCCTTGTCCTTCTTTTTGTCTTCTTTCCATCTATCTTTTTAATTTCTTCCTTCCTACCTGATCTTATTTTCCTGTGCACTTTCTGCTTCCTTCTAGGCCAAGTGAAGGCCCCAGAAGCTCAGAGTTCAGTAGAGCTGTTTTTTTTTTTTTTTTAAATATCTTATTTAGAAAAATAATCCAGTGTGAGATGGTGTCCTTAGCTGAATACTGAATATTTTCTTTCCAGTTCCTGAAGGGGCCCATTTGCTGGACAGACCAAGATTCACACATTTGCACTTTTCTAATCAGAGTAGGGAGCAAAAGAGACCAACAGTCTGGTGGTGCCTGAAAACCCGAGAGTCAGTCTCCTTTGGGAAGGAGAAACCAAATCAGTCCTGGAAAGGGTGGGCCTGTCTCCTGCAATGCCCCAGTTAGCAGCAGCTTCAGGCTGTCGCAGACTGCCTCTATGGCCTACTTCCTTTTGTAATTTGCACAATAGACCAGAAGATGGGGCTCTTGACCCTGGAGTCAAGGGCCAGAGGCTATGTTTTCATATTTGAACTGGAGGAAGGTCAGTTCCAACAGAGCTCATAAAAATCATCTCTATCTCCTCATTTCTCTTACTATACTGTCCACTCCTACTTGGCTGGAACCTATCTTCCAGGGGAATGGGAATGTAGGCATATCTTCCTTTTGGACACCATCCTAGGCACCTCTCGAATTAGTATGTTGCCTGAGTCAGTCTAACTGGGCCCCTTGTCTCAGGTTTCTGCCTCTAATCCATTGTGCCCTCATGGCAGATTTCAGAGATAGCACTATTTTCATAGAACAGTATAGGACAGTGTAGTATAGGACCAAGAACTCTAGAACTAGGCCCTCAACTCATTTCAATCAGGTGAGGCTTTCCTCATCTCAGAGAAGCTCTCCTTGATCATCTCCCATTCTGGGAGCCCTCTATCACATAACTGTCATTTACTTCTTAGTAGCTATCAAAAATTGTAATAATCTTGTTTGCTTACTTGTTTACTGTCTATCCACCTAACTGGAGTACCCAAGGGGGCAAGAACCCTGTTTGTCTTTTTGCGGTTTCCTCACTACCTAACACAGGGCTGGATACATAAAGTCTCAATAAATGTATTCTGAATTAATAAATGAATGGTCAAATCCTAGCATAATGACTGCCTGAACTTGAGAAAGTTTCTTGACTTCACTAAGCCTTAGTTTTCTTAGAAGTGAAATGGAAAAATAATAAATACAATGACTATTGCAGGAATGTGTTTCCCTAAAACTTTCAGCAGAATTCTACCCCGTGTAAGAAAATAGTCTGAACTGCCAGCTCTCCAAAATTTGACAACAGGCCCCCCCACCCGCTAACTTCATCCTTTTTTTCAAGGTGCTGAGGACTGAACACAGGGCCATGTGAATGCTAGAAAAGCACTCTGCCACTGAGCCACACCCCAAATCCTAACCATAGCCTTTCTTTACTACAAGTTTGACTTCCTACTGATTTTCTCTTTCTTTATATGTTGACTTTAGCTTATTACAATATCATAAGTTCTTTGATGTTAATGATTATTTTTCTTATTCCTTTCTGTATATTCCACAGAGCTTTGAAGAATGCTGGATACATAGAAAGTAGTTAGCAAATATGCTGGGCACAGTGGACACCTGTAATCTCAAAGACTCAGGAGAAAGGGAGATAGCAAGTTACATACAGGGTTTGGCCCAAATCATGACTAACCTGAATGACCCATATACATTACTACTCTTTAAGTTTTTGCCCAAGACTTGAGATACTTGCCCTTCTTATCTTGGCTCAATTAAATCTTACCCATATTTTTAGACTTAGGTCAAACTCATATCCTCTTCTGAAGTACTCCAAGTCAAAGAACATTTCTGAATTTTCATAATCTTCTAAGTTTTTGTAATCTTTGTTCCCCAAGCACACCTTTCCTTTATCCACCATCCTTGAAAGGAAGGGTTCTTGGAAGAGATGGCTTTTTGACTTAACTTTGAAGGACAGTTATTCATATGGTTCTTATTCTATGTTCTATTTTCTTGTCATTATATTAACATGTCTTCTCTTAGATTGTTAAGCTACTTGGAAATATAGTTTAGATTTCTTTGTATCTTTAGTGCTATATCTACATAGTAGATATTCAATATATTTTTTATTAGATTGAATTAAAAGGACATATATTTGCTAACTACTTTTTTCTCTTGGGGGGGTTACTCGGGATTGAACCGGGGGGGTTCTTTATCACTGAGCTACATCCCCAGTCTTTTTAAATTTTTATTTTGATACAGGGTCTCTCTAAATTGCAGAAGCTGCCTGGAACTTGTTATCTCCTTTCCTCCTGAGTCTCTGGGATTACAGGTGTCCACTGTGCCCAGCATATTTGCTAACCACTTTCTATGTATCCAGCATTCTTCAAGGCTCTGTGGAATATACAGAAAGGAATAAGAAAAATAATCATTAACATCAAAGATCTTATGATATTGTAATAAGCTAAAGTCAACATATAAATAATGTACTTAAATAAACACTGCATAGTAACTGTTATGAGAAACATATGAAGTGAGGATTCTGAAGAGGGGGAGATGACATCTGTTAAGGGTGTCAGGGACAATAGCAATTGTCAGGGACAATTCCACCTCTTGGAAGAGGTGGCCTTTGGGACTGACTTTGAAGGATGGTTAAGACTTTTTTAATATTTATTTTTTAGTTTTAGGCAGATAAAATATCTTTATTTTATTTTTATGTGGTGCTGAGGATCTAACCCAGTGCCTCACACATGCTAGGCAAGCCCTTTACCTCTGAGCCACAACCCCAGCCTGACAGTTAAGATTTTTGATAGGCAAAAATGGGGGATGAAGATGGGATGTGAATTAAGATTCAAGGCATAGGCTTTATGCAGACATGGACAGAGAGTGTGGATATAGACATTAAAACTCAGAAACAGGGCAAGGAGCTTATGCAGGGTTGAGAAATCTGTTGTTTTTTTGGGGGGGATGGTAAACCCCAACTTTGTTATCAATTTCAGGGCCAGTGTAAAGGATGGTATGCAAATGCTGAACCTTAACATGTTCCCCAAGAGTAGTTTCTTTGGAGGCTGAGAATTATTTGCAATGATTTTTTTCCCTAATAATGTGGACTCATCTACAGTCTGATATGATAAGTGTGTATAAGACAAAAGGCCACTTTCTTCATCTTAGGGATAGAGAATATGTTGGATTTTAGCCAGCCTTTTCTTTTAAACCCAAATCAAACTGAATACATTCCTCATGATTTTCTAATCTCGTCATAGATATTAGTTCTGTTGTTAAATGATAATTTGCCTTAGATCATTTCCTGGAAAAGCTGAAGGTTTTTTTTTTTTTTTTTGTGTGTGTGTGTGTGTGTGAAACTGCTTCAACAATCATCCCTTAGCCCAACTTTGCTTTTTGAAGCGGACCTGGGAGGGAGAAGACTTAAGATGTAGAGAGCCTGTGGAGCGGGCCTGTTCACTGCCTACCTACTACTCTTTAACGCTTTTAATTTGTCCATTAGCTCAGGGATTAATGATTTTAGAAGGCTGCCTCCCATCATCCTCAATGACTTCCTCCTGTAATCCCGAGGTTCATTTTCTCAGAATTTAAAAACCAACTTTTAAGGAATATAATCAGAATAGACAAAACCGACACTTTCTCAGTTTTCAAGAGTCAGGTGCAGTTGCAAATAGAAGCAGAGATTTTCAATGTCTAGCAAGCAGTTGGAAGGACCTTCAAACCCAGAGGCCCCTGAAGGGAGGGAGGCGGTTTCCACGGCAACCGGGCCCGGGAGCAGACGGCTCCTCCAGTTCCCTCCTCCTCCTCCTCCTGGTAGCCCAGGGTACCGCCGGACAGCGTCCTCCGGTGCTCTGAGCCCTGATTGGCTGCATTGGTCTCTCGCTGATTGGCTGCGGCGGCTGCCTCGCGGGCCGGTGGCTATGGAGGCGGAGGCGGTCGATGGTTGACCGTTGGCTCCAGGGTAGGGGTCGCCGCTCGTGTGATCAGTTCACACACGACCAGGGGGCGAGGGCTGCTGACGTTCTGCCTGGAACCCACTGGGGGGACCTAGTTCCGCTCCGCCATGCCGGCGGGGAGTAACGAGCCGGACGGCGTCCTGAGCTATCAGGTAGGGCTCCGCCTCCCGCCCCTCCCCGGGGCTGGGGCTCAGCCTCCTCATCCTGTGCCCACCCTCCTTTCTTCTGCCCCCAAGCCCGGGCTCCCTGGGCCACTCCCTAAGGACGAGGGGAGGCCAGCTCGGGACAGCAGGGGGCGCTCCGGGCGATTGGGGATCACGCCGTGGCTGCTTGAGAGGATGACCTTGGGCCGAACCGGGAGCCGGCCCATCTCTGCTGCATCCCTTGCACAGCCGAGGAGCCCTGGCGGCTGGCGGGCGGTGACCTCTGTTCTCGGGTCTTCGGGGTGGGAGACGCCCCCTTCTGACCTCTCATTGTCCTGAGGAACATGGACGAAAGGGTATCTAGGGAGCTTGCTCTGGTCTTTGTATTTTTGTTTCTGGGTGCTTTTGGTTTCTCAGTAGCTCAGAGGAAGAGCATAGAAAAGCTGTGGAGGCTGAGAACTGTCCCTGTTAGTATGGCCGGCTTTGTGATTATCCCACCCCATTGCACAGACATTTGACAAGTTCTAGGCAGGGGAAGAACATGGGCTGAGGAAATGTTGAGGGTTCAGAAACAGGTACTTGTTAAATGGAATGAGGAAATCAGGTTTAAGTAATTGATGACAACTGTGGGATGGCTCATGTAATGAAGCATTAGACTAGGTTTTGTGACCTTGTGTAAGTTACTTGCTTCCTTGAGCCTGTTTGATTTCTTAAAATGGAAATGGTGATACTTGCTTTGCTTACCTCATATGGTTGTTTTGAGGATCAAATGAGATGCATTTGTGAAGAGGTTTTGTGAAGTGTTTATAGTGTGATATCCAGTGAGTGGCAGCTTATTGAGTTCTCACTCCTCCTTTCCTGTGCAGTCAGATGGTGTGGTTACTGTTCTGGAGAGAAGGCTCTAAAGGGTGAGGGAAGTCAAAACAAGCGGAGGTCTGTGAAGACGATAATGACCATCTCAGGAAGGATAACAAGTGTTGGAGACAAGTGCCATCTTGATGTGACTCAGGGATAGTTTCTGAAAGGATGAAAGGAAAACATCTCGAATTTGTAGCAAAATGGATATCAGACACTGATTCCTTCCTTTCCTCCTGGTAATAGTTTGCTACTAGAAGATCCATAATTCGTTCTTTGTTCAGTCAAAAAAGGAACAATATCTAGATTTTGAAAAAAATCTTTCAATATCTAATACTTTAGAGGCCTGTTACATGTATTCAACCTCTGTTTGGGATACAATATTGAGCAAAAATAGGCAATGCTCTTGCTTGTCTGGAGATTACCACCATCTTTTGGGAAGCAGGATGAAGTAACCTTTTCTCTTTCTGTGTGTGTGTGTGTGTGTGTGTGTGTGTGTGTGTGTTTATGGTAATGTGGATTGAACCCTGAACCTTGCACATGCTAGGCAAATGTTCTACCACTGATTTATGTTTCCAGCCCTTTATAATTTTATTTTGAGACAGGGTCTTACCCAGTTGCCCAGACTGGCCTTGAACTTGTAATCCTCCTGCTTTAGCCCCCAACTTGCTAGGATAACAGATGTGCACTATGCCTAGCAGAAATCACCATTTTAAATCAAATAATCACTCAAATGATCATATTATTATAAACTGCGATAAAGGCTTTGGAAAAAAAATATAGGAAGTCCCATGAGTGTAAATAATGATTTCATTCTCAATCTGAGACTAGAGAAGTTTTGCTATGGAAGAAAATTTAGATAAAGATCTAAAGGATGGGTGAATATCATCTGAGGAAAGAGGGAGATCAAAGGGACTTGGAGACAAAGATAACAGCATATATCAAAGTCCTGTGGCAGAAGGGGTATATACTAAAAGAAGCCTAGTGGTTAGAACCACAAGCAGCAATGAGGGGAATGGTGTAAGATATATTTGGGGGTTATAACCCCTGTTGAGACTCTTGGTATTTATCTGAGGAACAAGGAGATGCCACTGGCGGAATTTGAGGGGAAGGGGAAGGTTAGGCAGGAGAGAGGCCTCAAGAGAGAAGAAATGAGATCATGATCAGATTTTCCTATTGAAGATTTCTCTGGCTGCAGTGGGTAGAACAGGCTGGAATGAATGTGAGGAGACAGTGTCTTTAACATGCAGAATGTGTGCAGGTTATATTGACAGCATAATAGACCAGGTTTCTGTTAGTGTTCTGAGAAACTGATAATCCTGAGTGTTTCTGGGGTCGGGTAGGTAATAATTATCTCTTTTACAACAGTTTGTGAAACTTTCACAGGTGGTGGAATGAGCAGAGGAAATGGAAAAGAGTGGGAACATTAGGACCCCATAAAGACGAGTTAGGCATTAGGCAAATGGAAACATGAGATACAGTGAGGAAAAGAGAATGAGTGTAGTAAGAGGAAAGGAAGTGGGGTGACTTACTGGGAGAAACAGTCAACCAATTGACAATTATCAATTAAGCCTCCTGTGTGCTAACTAGGTTGTGTGCAGGGGATGGACCTGGCAAAGTGGGTACAAGTTTTATGACTTGTAAACAGAGAGGTTCCAGACATTACTTCTGTGTATCAGAACCTTGTGCTGTTACCTCTGATGTGAACTACTGCCCTAGCCTTCTACCAGTACCCTCTGTTTTCTTTCTTGACCTTCTACAGACCATTCTTCACATGCCAGTTAAGAGGGAACTTTTATTTCTTTTTCTTTTTTCAAGATATTGGGGATTGAACCCAGGACCTTGCACATACTAGGTAAATGCTATATTACTGAGCTATATCCCCAGAGGGAGTTTTTAAAAACAAATCACATCCTATCCTATCCTGAAACCCTTCAGTGGCTTCCTAGTGCATTTTAGAATAAAGTCCAAATCCTTTGTCATGGTTTACCAAACTTTATCATGGTCAGGGTCTTACCCACCCCTGCTCTGGCTTTCTTTCTGTTTTTTTTTTTTTTTTTAATATGGACAGCTCCTTCAAACCTCAGGAGCTTTGTTATTGTCATTCCTTCTGCCTAGGACACTCTTCTACCCAGGCTTCCTCATGACTTAGTTCACATCTCACTTCCTTGGAGTGGCTTTCCCTGACCTTCATCACTAGCCACTCTCCTTTATATGACACACCTCTCTCTCTGTTTTCTGCTGGGGATTGAACCCAGGGGTGCTTTACCACTGAGCTACATCTCCAGCCCTTTTTATTTTTTATTTTGAGACAGGATCGTACTGAGTTGCTAAGGGCCTTGCTAAATTGTGGAGGTGCCTTCAAACTTTTGATCTTCCTGTCTCAGCCTCCTAAATTTCTGGGATTATAGACATGCACCACTACACCCAGTGCATTTTTAAATTTTCTTATCACATATAACTTATCTGAAATGTTCTTGTTTTGACTTCTTATTTATTATTTTTTCAAATAAAAGCTTCATGAGGGTAAGGACCAGGCAGAAAAATCTTACCAACTAGCACAATGCTTGGAGTAAAATTACTGCTTGGTTGCATGAGTAACTGAGTAATTGTAGTCTCCTGTATCCAAAGCCAAGGTACCTCTCCTTGGGGAGTTTATGGTCTAGACAGGATAGCATGGAGCAATAGATAGCCATTATTGATTACACAAACACTCTCACTTCTTTGCTGCTGTTCCTTTGCTCAGTGTTCAAAGTGGAAAATCTTTCCCTTCCTCTCTACTGAGGAAATTCCATTTGTATTTTAAGGTCTGGTTCCATTTCACTCTATCAGAATTACAGTCTTCTTTACCCACAGAGCTTACCAAGTGCTGTCACCTTCCACAACCACTTGAATATACATGAACATACATGTTCATCTCAGCTGCCCAGTTGACACAGCTCCCTTTGCTTTTGCTGTTGAGTTAATTTTTACTGACTATAGCTAGATGTGGTGGCACACACCTGTAATCCCAGCAATTCAAGAAGCTGAGGTAGGAGAATTACAAGTTTAAGGGCAGCATGGGCATCCCTGGTACTGCAAAAATAAAAATTAATAAATTAATTTTATTGAGTGTTTGCCATGTGCCAGGCACCATGCTAGGTGTTTTCCATGCACTATCCCATTTCCTTTTTCCTCCTTTTTTGCCACATTGGTGAACAAAATCCAGGGTCTTGCACATGCTGGGCAAGTATTTGACCATTTACCATTGAGTTACACTTCCAGTCCCACTATTACATTTAATTCTCTCTGTAACCTTAGAAAGGAATAAAAAAGGGGAAAAAAAGGAATAAAAATAACCCTTTTTATTCTTTTTTTTTTTAAACTGGGGATTGAACTCAGGAGAGCTAGTAGAGCTACATCCCCAGCCCTTTTAATGTTTTTTTATTTAGAGACAGGGTTTCCCTAAGTTGCTGAGGCTGGCCTTGAACTTGCCTGTCAGCCCCTTGAATAGCTGGGATTATAATCATGTGCCACTTCACTCGGCTTTACTCCCAATTTTCAAATGAGGAAACTCAAGAGAGGTTAAGTAACTTCTAATAAGTGATGAAGCTGCTTGTGGTTCTGCCAAAACCAGGGCTGCCTCTTTCCAAAGGATGTGTGTTTAATTACTGTGCATTACTGAAGCTTGTGTCTTTGAAATATGGATCAGTACCCGACTCTGAGTGAGTGCTTAAGAAGTATCTGGGGGCTAGGGATATAGCTCAATGGTAGAGTGATTGCCTACTGTGCATTAGGCCCTGGCTTGAATCCCCAGTACTGCCATAAAATAAAATAAAATAAAAAATGTTTGGAAAGATACTGATGGCAAGGTGTACAAAGGCTGTATTAGAGTGGGAGAGGCTGGAATGAGGGAGGCCAGTTAGGGGGCTATTGGTGAAGTTTAGGTTGAGTTAATTAAGGTCTGCATTATTCATTTTGATGAAATATCTGTGTTATTGAAACTTTAAGAGTTGATGAGCTCTTATAAGGAGTAAGTAATAGAGGAAGATGACAAGACAGCTTTAGGGAAAGCCCTTTCTTTAGACTGGAACTGGGAACATCTTGTAGCTTCACATTTCTCCTCCTCATCACTTTCAGAAGTGACCAGATCTGAGGAAGTGCTAAAAGAAGAA